TTTTTTTTGTGGTTGTTCAGTCTATTGGGTAAAGGTTTGCATGTGGGAGTTTCTTCACTGTCGATAATTTGGGATTGCAGGGATTGTATTGTATGATTGCATTGATTACACGAATGAATTGATGACATAACGAACCACGTTGATGCTACAGCATGCACACCCATCTTCGATTGACTGTTTGCTTGATCACCCACTAGTGGTGTGTGCCAAACTGTTCCCGTCGGTATGATTTTATCGGTGCAGTTTGAAAGCATCGTATACGGACATGCCCTTGAGAACGTCCTCTTTAACCTTGTCATCTGCCGCAGTCAGCTTTGGCAACATGCCCAAAACCTCTTCAACCTTGTCCTGGGGGATGATAACTACGCCATTAACAGGGTCTTGAAAGGCAACATCCCCGGGAGATACCTTGACACTATTAATTTCTAATGGCACTTGAAGAGCCCAAGGAACACTACTCCCGCCTGATCCGACGGTTGACAGGCCATGAGCCAGAATCTGACCACTGGGTTAGCGTCGGTACGGACATCAAGGCTCATTGATTGGCCGCTACTAGCCAGGATAGAGACGAGACATTACCGGCATGTTAGTATCTCTAAGTTCTTCTACGTCCCTGACCCTGCCGGCTACAATGATGCCTTCGACTCCGCGTATCTTCATACGTAATGCCATGATGCCGCCGCAGATGGCGTTGGTCTGACCGGGGGGTTGCTTCATCACCACAAAAGTGCCCGCCTTGGTGACATCAGCCCAGTGAGTGTCCTTTGGCACATTTGGCGCTGGATCACTTGGTGTCTCGCCCTTGGCGGCGAACAAGATGGTAGACACGGGTGCGATGGTGGGTGATTTGGCATCCCGGCCGGTATTGGTACTGTAGGAATTCAGGTCTGCAATGTAGCCGGCCCCGGGGACCTTGAGCTTCAAAAGCGCATCTGAGATATCACAGGCTGTGTACTGCTGGAGTTTTGCGAAGCTAGCATTTAACGAAGAGGAGGGCAAGGTTGAGGTCGACATGGCTCGTGACAGGATGAGCGCACGACTGATCACCGTTCTGGGAATAAATTGGAGGAGGCAAGGTGCAGTCATTTGAAATTGAAGGGGATAGCTAAATCGTGTACGAAAAAAAGCTGCTCATCTGCTGAATTGGTTTGGCAGCAGTAGTTGAGGTGATTCGGGCGGCAGGTTGGTGCTTAAGTAGAGTGTACTTGAAGTGCTCTACTCCGTACAGCAGGTACTACCCTACCGTAACTGTGTATGTCGCAGTAAGAGAATAAGGCGGAGTTGCGACGGGTCCGAGCCGAGGCGCCTCCGAACACCTGCGCTTGCGGGAGGTGTGGAGACATACGGGTTCACAGATACGAAGGTTACGGAGTAATTAGTTAGTTGATTTGCTGGTTTGCTCGAGTGGGGCAGAGTCCGCGGGAGTCTCTGCAAGTAACGAACGGGGGGTTGAGACGTAACTATTGGGCATGACTTTCTTTTTCTAGAGATACTAATACTTTGCGAGTTAGTAGTCGTTATTTTCGCCTTTTGTTCCGCCCACGCAAAAGAATGTTATGGGAACGAAGCTACGGAGTAGAGTGTACAAGTAATTGGTATTCCGTAACGAGTACGGAGAACACAAACTGGCACCCCATCTATACCCTCAAATTTCTGTACCTTTCGGGATCCCAAATAACTAGTCCATCCACGCACGATGATCCGCGTTTCTAAACGTGTAAAATGGATCCCTTCACTGCATGATGTCCAACTATCCATCAAGGATGTGATGATACGCCTTGACGCAAGATAAAGAGCGATAACAAACAGAAGAGTGGGAAGCTCTTATGAAGGTCGCCGAGATGCGAACTTTCAAATATAGTTTGGGCCATATCTGTTAATGGTACGCCGTAGAAAGTCGGAATTATGTTGTTCTGGGCAGATGACTGCAGCAAGGTAAAGTGGCCAACCGAAAAATACCCAATGAATGACTACATTGAGCCCATACCGCCAGACTTTATCTGGAGCCAAGTGTCTGGGGATATTTCGCGGCAAGCTTGACGAAAATAAAATAGGCAACTCATTGCAAAATTAGCAAAGGTGACAGTGCAGCGCCTATACCGACGAGCTCGATGTTTTACATTTTGACGTGTCGCGGAAAGTGACCCGTACTCTGCTAAGCTGAACGGAGTCAACCAATTCGTAGAGGGTGAAGTAATTAACTCTATGAACAACGTACACTTGAGCTCTGGGCTGGAAACATTAGCGAGAGCAGATTCTGTGTTTGGCGGAGGTCATGAGGGAGGATTACGGCTTCATGCCAGCTGTAATATTGCTTTTTTGAGTATCACTTGCTGGCATGGATGGGGGCATGGATGGGCAGCTTCCAGCTTGACCGGAAACGCCATTGCTTCCTGGTTAGGAGATGCTTTAGCATTCCGACGCCACTATCAAGGATCGGCTCATTGGGGATACACCAGCACATGTTTGAGGAATATCGGCAAGTGGTAGTTATGGCTGCCGCCGGACATGTAGTCTCGCCTCGCCATGTGAATGCAAACTGTCAACCCCACCACCACCACACCCAGAAAAAAAAGAAGAGAAAAAAAAACACGCGCGAGCCGAAGCAAGCTGTCTACAACGAGCTACAAAAGCTCCAAGACATTGAAAATCTCGATGCGACCGCGCAAAAAAAAATGATCTCTCCCCCGGAAAGGCTCGAACTTTCAACCTTTGAATGCGAGTTAATACTTGATATACATCAAATCCACAATTTTATAAGATTTGATAACTTACCTCCTGATTAACAGTCAGACGCGCTAGCCAATTGCGCCACGGAGGAATTGTTGATTCAGCGCCGTCTTAGATTTCTTTAAGAAATGGCTGCAACGGCCTCGCTTGTTCACTTGAGCCCCCGAGTCACGTGTCCATCCGACCTCCCCATTTGAGAACTGCTTACTCCGTAACTAGTTACTCTCCGTAGTTAGTTAGTTAGTGGAGGCATTGGAGACAACTTGTAAGTAACTGACTGTGCAACGTGTACGTTGACGGACTCTGTCTATTTAATTTGCATGAGGTGAGCACATTACAATACACATCCTTTTGTTTATATAGGAATTATACCATTAAAGCATGTCGATGCACCGACGCGCAGAATGGTATCTCCTAAATGTCCGAGGAGCTGGTTAAATGGACAATGAATAGGAAGTCCCTGTTAGTGTTAGTCTACCACATAAAAGAGTCTCAGCAACCTGGCTCTCTGTGAACCGCGACATCTAGAAGTTACGAGCTAAAGAATTACAAAAAATGACCTTTGTCTATGCATTACGTTTATCCACCTTCTTGGGCGCTTCAGATATAGTCTTGAAATCACAATGCTCGCTTATGTAGATATAATTCAGCAGCAGCAACAATTTAACAGCACAGCAGATTAATTAGGCAGAGGGATACGCAGTACCGGAGGGGTTCAGTAGGACAACCTACCAGCGGCTGCAGTGTGTGCAAGGAGCTCAATTGGCTGACTCCTGGAACAGCCCGCCATAGTCGAAGGAACGCGATGTTCCTCCTTATAGGGGACGATGACGGCATGAACATGAAGAGGATTTTTCGTTGCAGCTTAATATTCCCACGTAGGTCCAACGTGCATGGGGTGGTGGTGGTGTGAGAGGTGCACTGCCGGGTTCCTAATGCACGTAATTTTGTAACATTTATAAAATGGATCAAAGAGAGAGATCGCAACCAAGGCGGCTGCGCGCAATTACTTGAGGTGAGAGTTGAAGGCTGCATCATTAGTCTTCTATCAACTTCACGTAATTAAATTATTGAGATACATGCATGCAAGCATCTCCTACCTTGGGATAGGAACTATATTGTGTTCTTTCTTGTTTATTAATTAGTATTCGGATTGCAGCTCCAACGCCAAGGAGCGAATCTACATGTGCGACCGGATCGCCATCCGGCCCAGAGTCCGGGCGTTCCATATTTTTATGAAGTAACACCCGAACGGCAATGGAGATACGGAGTACCGGTTAGCATTGATGTGTTAGTCATGCCGGAATGTACTCTCAAGGGCGTACAATTTCTTGCCTTCTCTCACACCCAGTCTTAGCCCAACGACCTCGGGAGTCCCCGTTAACTGGTTCAGCCAATCATGTATCAACATAGTACTGGGGTTGTCGCGTGAGTAACTTCAAGTCAATGCCCACTAATAATACCTTGTACTCCGTCGACCAGTACGATACTGTTCACCATCTGGCTTCAACCCGGACTGTTAGCGCTTGAGCCATTGGCTTGCTAGTTGCTCTTCTTCCCAATGAGGCTTCGCCAGGCCTTCGGGCTAAGCATGAAAAGCGTAAGGGGCGGCATATTTTGTATTAACTTGTTTTCACAGGTAACCAACCCCTCTGCATCAAGAGGTGAACATTCCGGTAATTCAAGAATCGGCAGTAGAATACGAGCTGCGACTTACGTTGCTCTCAAACGGAGTGGTATTCAAGTAAGACTGGTCCAGTTCTGTCACTGTTAGTAAGGGGACTTGTGCTGCCAACATGGGAAGCTGGGACAGAGCAAAGGAGGGTATACTCTTTAACAATCCGAGACTGCTTGATGTTTGCTTCTTGGAGGGGCATCGATAACGCTTTTCAACCCGCGCATGTTTCAAATTGGATCGATGGTTTGCCGATATTAATCGCGGAAAACGAGGCATATGCTGCCATGTCCCATTTGACTTGGCGAGATATTGAGACCAGACTTCGCCCGCATGTTACCGCCGGAGCAGACACAGGGGCTTGATCAACTCACAAGTGAGCTGGGATTAAAAGCCCCACCATTCCGCCGAAACTAGAATTGACGTTTTGACACCGGTTGCTGTCAAAAGACTGGCATGTGCTCTGTGCAATTACTGACGATATGCCGATAGTGGCCTGAGTCGACGTGCGCCAAGCTAAAGGCGCAAAGGGGGGACATTCAAGACATGCAAGACTTGTCACCGCCCAGCTTGCTAACTTCACGAGACAGCTATCAGCTAGCTTGTCATTCTCTCCCGAGTTTCTTCAAGATCTGCTCGTCCGCCCTTTCCCCGCCCATCGAAAGCCCGGTCAACCGAGCAGAGTGGTTGGCCGTGGCTGCCCACCCACCATCTAGCAGACACATGATAGCCATCTGACAATTATTGCATCTTCTCTTTCAGACTAAAGGGTGAGAAATTCTCAAAGGTTGCCCTTGTGCGCCCGCAAAAGCCAATATGTCAAGGCTGACTCTTACGCTTTAGTTCTAACATCTGCCGCAGAGCTTGCGTGGTCTGCCATTTCTGTGCATCCATTGCGAATTGCCGAAATATATGGCCAAGCCGTCGCCGTCGCAAATTTCAGGTAGGCACATAACGTTAGCCTAGGCATGCATTTAATAGTCGTATTGATAATAGATTATATTGTTTTTTTCTTCTCCTCTTGCATACTGTACATATCGTACAACAGTTGAGCTAGCTAGGGTCGGGGCTTCTCCAGTTCAGCAGATCCGAATCCATGTCTCCAACCGAAGTCCCAAGGTGTTACAGACGCAGGATGCGCGGTAAGTCATTGATGAAGTGTCAATAAGCTATTGAAACGCAATGTTTTCCCAACATAACTTGTAGGAGCCTATTTGGGAAGAATGGAGCTGTGTAGGTCTCTAGTCTCGGCTTCCGCAGCCGTCCGCATATATCTTCTCACAGGACGCTGGACTTTTTTTCTGACAATAAATGCGTCCCTGTTGGATGTGCTGAGTTCTATGCTCGGGTCACAGTTTGCAACCCGGCACTAACAAGGCGACCTAATTGAAGAAAGTCGCCGGTTGGGAAGCGTCGTACGCTCTAGTGGCGTCAACGGTCAGCGTTTCCAGCCATAGCCGTTTACGAAGTGGGTAGAGATACGGAGTAGTCAGTACTGCGTACCACCGATTCGTTTCCCGCTTCCAACCCGCACCTGCAATATCACGCAAGCATTGTGCTGATGGTCTGTATAGGCGCTAGGACGCTGGCATCATTCAAGCGACAGGCAACAAGCTGGCAATAAAAAAATTTCAAGAATGATAGTGCGCTTATCTCTAGTATTCACTTCAAGAACCGGGATGACGAAGGTCGGCGAGCAAAACAAGCCAACATCTGCGGAAGTTGCTGAATACCCGGCGCACAATTCAGCCACTCTTCACGGCTGCTGATCCATAATTTCGTGTCTTGACAGCTGATCGACTACCAACATAACCTCGAGAAGTCTCCCCCCAAACATCACAATGGTTCCAGAGGCGTAGTTACACCGCAGCTGAAAGTATCTGCATACTCCGCACAACGAGCGGGAAGCATCCGGAGCGGGATTGCCGCTTGTTAGCCCAACCATCTGTTGGCCGCCGTACCATTCTGGCAAACCATCACGAACGCTGAGGCTTGCGCTAGCCCCTGCTGCGCATGTACCATTATTGCATGGAGTACTGGGAAGAAAAGGGCAAGGGCCTCGAAAAGCCCAGACAATATCTAGAGCCCGGACGGAGGTCAGAGGAGGTCAGAGGTCGGAGGTGTTGGAGGTGTTGGAGGTGTAGCTAATAAGGCACCAAGCGGCCAGGGCACGTCCCGGCAAACAGGATCAACCTTGCATGTCTCTGGTAAGCTGCGAGCCCGCATTGCACTTGAGCACAACGCATGTGCTTCGTCCCATCTCGCCATACTCCGTACTCCGTACAGTGATACGATTACGGCCATATGGCGCAACGCACGGAGTACGGTATATTCGCATCTTGACCAGTTGCCATCGTTCGCTCGCGAGAAGGAGCCTTGCAGGCCACCACCAGCAAGCAACTGCGACCGAGCTCCAAGCAGCCCAGTTCCCTTGTTCCATAAACCCGTTTATTAGTTTACGTTGTAGGCATTAGCCCGTCTCGCCCGCTAATCCCCTTACTTCAACCCGTTTGACGCACCCAATCGGTGGAAACGAAACAACGAGACTTTTTGTTAGCGAATCTCTGAGGGGGGCCCTGTGGGAACGGCTAGCGTGTGTCTATCACACGCACCTACAGGAAAACCCAGCGTATGGAACAGCCAACAGCCGATGTGTGTTCAGCTGCTAGCAACTGCTGTTCGAGGGTTTTGGTGAAGGAGGCCCCTTCGCAGCACAAGTAATATGGGGCTGCGATGGATCTCAAGGTGACTGAATACTCGGTAATTAGTCCACTAACTACGGAGTAGTCAGTCAATCAATCAATCGGTCAACCAGTCAATCTGTCAATCACAGCCATCGAACTTGCCGTTGGCCACTCAACCGCTGAACGCTGCGGCAGCTATGGGCCCTGGTTGGAACTGAACTCGGTACTTCGTACGCCGCACTCTGCACTGCGTCCTTGTTGGAGCAGCCACCAGCGACAACGACATTGCATTGTGGGGCAATGTCCTACCTGGCGTCGCGGTCACCAGTCAACAATGAACAGTGTCATATCCAGCATCGAGGCCAATGTCACTGTCAATGTCACTGACAAAGCCACTACCAGCTGCCCCAAGCCCACCCTGCTTGATCACATCCAGCTGTCCGGAGGACTCCGCACAAAGTTCAGAGCCGGGTGGTTGTTCAAAATCGCTGATGAGTGGCAACAGACGCTACTGCCATATGCCGCTCTCCGCCACGCTTCCCGCCCGCTACCCGCCCGGTACTTTAAGTACTCACAACCTTGCCCTTGTCTCTCAGCGCTCCCTTTGCAACTGATCGGCCGATACCGCCAACAAGGTGCATTAAATGTCGTGTCCAAGGTCGTCTACTCCTACCAGGGGATATGTAGAGCGCAAAATGACTTTACTAGTAGTTATCTCCTTCCGTGATGGAC